CGGCCCCAGCCCCGCCGCCCCTGGAGCCCGCACCCCGCGCCGGGCCCCAGAGACAACAACATCTTCTGGGGTCTGCAGGTGACGCCGCTAGAGCACGGGGTGGGGGCGGTGCAGAGCGCGCACAGAGACGTGAGACGCTGGGCGGTTTCTGCGGGGCGCCACCGCACTTGTGCCTCCGGGCTGGGGGCCTCAGTCAGGTTGCAGCTCGAGAGTGTGTCTAGTCCTGGCCGTGCCCCTGGGGGCGGGGGCGGGGGCGGGGGCGGGGGCGGGTGGTTGATGCAGTGTGTTCTGCCGGTTTTCTTTCCTCGCGAGAAAGCCGCTTCTTTCTTCCCGACTCAGATTATCTCTGTTTAATACCTGCTCTCGGCAGATATCCGACATTCACTTGAGCAGGTTTCACGATCGAGGCAGAGCGGTAGACTTAGAGAAGTTCTGTTCTGAAACTATTGACATCATTCAACCAGCTCTCGTCCTAGCAACAGGTAGGGGGGATTGCCGTGCTGTCGGGTTGTTCTGCGGCTGCGGATGGTAGAATGCTAGCCAGGGCTGCAGCTTTTCACTTTGGGGACACACAGCCCCAGGTGAGCCCTGTGAGGTAGAGGAGATGGGACGTTATAGTTCCCTTTGCCTGTGGATAACTAAGTCAAGATCCAGGCCAAATGATTTTCCATAGCAAAGTTTTGTCAGCACAGTAGAAGCAAGGTTGGTGATTCTCATGTCACTGTGCTGTCTGCTATATTTATGTCTGATTGTTGTTACTGTTGCAGTTCTGGATTTGAGAATTAGGGAAGGCTCTTAAACCACAAAGCAAAGCTTCTCTCCTTTTGCTACCTTTTCCAGTTTCTTTACGTTATTAAATAAAAAAAAAGTAAAACCCGTTGCCGTCGATTTAATTTCAACTCATAGCGACCCTATAGGACAGAGTAGAACTGCCCCGTAGGGTTTCCAATGAACGGCTGGTGGATTCGAACTGCCAGCCTTTTGGTTAACAGCCGTAGCTCTTCACCACTGTATTATTAGTCAATGTTATTTTGTCAGTTGTTTGAGGCTTCAAATGACTCCGTACTTTTTCTTCATTCTTTGGTACTTCTGTGGCTTGGGTTCCCTAGTCTAGTCAAGCCTGTAACCATTTGCCCCCAAACTGTGTCGGAGGAGAGGAAGCTAACGGAGCATTTATCCGGTCTACTGGGAACTCATTTCCCACCTACACTACTAAAACACCCCTGCTGATATGATGGAGTATCAGCCCTCATTGTATGGAAGTGCCCCGAATGCAAATGTTCTGTTTCGTTTCCTAGAAGTTTTGGTATTTCATTGTCCAGACTACATCTTCTAGATTGCTTCTTGCGATCACATATCCTGATTTTGGGTTTGGAAAATAAGCTCACCACAGATATTAGACACCTGCCAAAGTGATGGAGTTTCTTATAAAAGATTTTCATTTTATCAGAATCTCATGATGCATTTTGTACTCCTTCTTTAAACATATTTTTTCACAGCCTACATCTAGTATCCCAGAAGGTTAAATAGGAGCTTGCTAATCCATAATAAACAAAGCCCTTGGTGAGAATTTTGCATTGCGATTCGATTCTTATTTAAACCTACAGGAGACCTGACTGATGCCAAAACCAAGGACAAGTTGGGATCCAGGCAGCATGAGGTAGAATGGCAAACTTACCAGGGTATTCTAAAGAAGACAAGGGTCATGGAAAAAACCAAGTGGCTGGATATTAAAGGAAATCATGGTAAGAGTCAAGACCCAGATTTTTTTTTCCTTTGGAAAGAGTCTCCAATTTCGATTGTAAAATTATAAAATGGGACATTGTAACAGGTTTCTAAGATATACTGAAGGCCACAGTTCTGAAACACAGTTATATGATTTAAAAACTTCAGATGCCACTGTTAGCCTTTGAGGTTAGAGTTGTTATGGTCCTTTCTTCATTACATTGAAGAAAAGCTTCTGTCAAAACCCATTCAGATCATGCTGAGTGAAATAAGTCAGTCACAAAAGGAAAAATATTGTATGATGCCACTTATATGAAAGATCTAGAGCAGGAAAATGTATATAGACCTGAAATTATTAGTGGCTACCGGGGGTGGGTGGTTGGGTGGGAGGGAGGCGGAAAAGGGGATCCACTGCCTAGGAGACAGAGAACTTCTGTTAAGGGTGATGGAAAAAGTTGGAGGTGAATAGTGGTGATGGTTGTACAACATGATGAACACAATGCCACTAAACTGTACATGTAAAGAATGTTGAAATGGCAAATGTTTCGTTACGTATATATTTATCACAATAAAAAACAAAACAAAAAAAAAACCCATGCAGGCAGATGTTTAAAATAAATATACATTTTGCTAAGTGAAACAAGCCAAACCCAAAGTCTACGTACTGTGATTCCATTTATATGACATTCTGAAAAAGGCAAAACTATAGGTAGAGAACAGATTTGGGGTTGCCAGGAGTGGGCATGGGAGGAGAAGTTGACTACAAAGAAGCACCATGAGGGAATTTTTTGGGGTGATAGAACTGTTCTGTGTCTTGATTGTGGCGGTAGATACACAGCTATTTGTCAAAAATCTACAGAACTGTACACCACAAAGTGAATTCTGCTGTATATAATTAAAAAAATTAAAATCTAAAAATTTGCCAACAAATCTCATATGCATGGGCAGAGAAATGGATAATACCATTTCTCAGATTATCATTGTTGGTTTAGTAAGGAATTGAACTCTTCTCCGAGTCTTGATAGTAGATTTGTTTGTTTGTTTACTTTATAAAGGTTGACTTTCTCATTGGTTAATAAAGTACTTCATTTAATACTTCATTGCTGATGAGTGCTTTTTTTTTAAGCTATCATTTTAAACTATAATTCTACCTACACAGCTATTGGCTTGATCAGAAAACACCCTCTTTGTAAATAGTTCTAAGCAGCTAGGAAAGTTAAAAATAGGATATCTGGCTTATAACTTACTCTGGTACATTTACATTTCCTTTTTTTTCCTGATGCTAATTAGTAGATAGGTCAAATTATTTCGCAACAAATAGCATATCTGTGTATATTAAAAAAGATTTCCAAGAATCTACTGACTTATTTATTTCAAGTAATGAATATCAAGAAGAGTCTTGTGATCAAATATTTTGGATAGTCTCTTGGAGTTCATAGTAATGTAATTTAACTTGTATAGGCATAAATGATAAGTGGTTATGTGTTTATATATTATGTTAAGACGGGAGAGGGAATTAATCTTTATTAAGATTTAACTATAACTCAGAGTTGTCCTATTACTGTCATAGATTGAATTGTGTCCCCCAAAAATAAGTGTATCAATTTGGCTAGGCCATGATTCCCAGTATTGTGTGATAGTCCACCATTATGTCATCTGATGTGATTTTCCTATGTGTTGTAAATCCTACCTCTATGATGTTAATGAGGGGGGACAGGTGGCAGTTATGTTAATGAGGCAGGACTCAATCAACAAGATTAGATTGTATCTTGAGCCAATCTCTTTGGAGATATAAAAGAGAGAAGTGAGCAGAGAGACAGGGGGACCTCATACCACCAAGAAAGCAGCACAGTGTGTCCTTTGGACCCAGGCTTCCTGCGCAGAGAAGCTCCTAGTCCAGGGAAAGATTGATGACAAGGACCTTCCTCCAGAGCCAACAGAGAAAGCCTTCCCCTGGAGCTGATGCCCTGAATTTGGACTTCTAGCCTACTAAACTGTGAGAGAATAAACTTGTTTGTTAAAGCTATCCACTTGTGGTATTTCTGTTACAGCAGTACTAGATAACTAAGACAATTACTTAGCAAGAGGATTGCATACATGTTAATATTTCTTTTGGCAGAAATTGTATTTACAGCTTACTCTTTAAGGTTATTGAAAATGTAGTAGATTCTTGGAAATCAAAGGTGATAAGCAATTTTATCTATTGCAACCAGGCAATCAAGCTTTATGGTATCATTATATTTCTAGATAAGCGTTCTATGATGTCCCTAACCTTACCACTTCCCATTATATAACTCCTTTCCCACTCTATCTTTTTAAGATTTAAGAAGAGACCAGCTTTAACCCTGTTACCTAAGTAATAGGCTGTTCAGAAGCACTTGACCTGTATCCATAAGTCAGGCATGAGTCCACTCCTTGCTGGTTTCCAAAATTACAGGATTAAAACAACAGTAACGACAACAATCCCATCTTATAACTTCAAGCTGGTTTATTCCAATAGTACATAATTCAAAGGACCTATTTTTCCCGAGTGTACTAGGTACCTTAAATGATAATCTGAATTCTGTTAAACTGTCAAATTTTTAAAAATTATCTAATTGATTGCCATTCTATCATTTAAAGTGTTGTAGAAAGAATTGTCATTTTTTCTTTAGTCAGTAACATATTTGCTTTTCCTTTTTAATATAGATGCATTCAACATTCCAGGCCTGGAGAGTGTCGAGAATTATTACAGGTACTATAACGGACAAGACCGACAACCATGTAGAGTCTGTGTTACAAGGAGGGTGCAGTTAGTTCACTGAATGAGTGAAAACATTTTTTAACAGATAAAATTTCTACAAATTACCTCTGGTAATTCAAAAAGGAGGCTTCCTTTTTTGTGACAGATTCAGTTCTTTTTATTTGTACTTTTCTGTCCTTTAATTTTTTAAATTTCATGTAGCTTAATGCTTTTTGTTGACTAATGGTACTTTTAATATTCCATACAGACTCTTTTTTCTCTTGCTTAGATCAGAGCTTATCAGTCAGTGTGCTGAGGTCAGTGGGTTTTTGGAATGTTGAGATACTGATTCCCTCAGCTTCTGGGGTAACTAGAGAGCCCAGCTGGTTACCCCTGGTTACACTGTCCTTTTAGTCCGGGATACCATACAAATATAAACGATTTTCTTTGTGTGTCAAGGATGTGAAAAAGGCTGGAGAGCTCTGACTTAGAAAACAGTTCCCTGGTTTAAATGAGTTGGCATTCTTCTTTGGGTTGTAATTTCACTTTCAGTTCCAAGGTACCCAGTAGCTTTGTTCTGCATTGTCAGTCAATCCCGTAGCGAGTATTTATTGAGAGCCCTTTACTAGCAAGATACTGTGAGAGACAGAAGAGCTAGTATAAAAAAATATGGTCTTTACCTTTGTCTAGTTAAGGGAGATAAGAAACAATTAGAAAAGAAAATGAAGGACTGGCTGGTGAAATGCTAGATTATGTGGTGTACACCATAATCATTATGAGGAATCAGTACAGGCAGAAATCAACATGGGGTGAATTTAGAGAAGACTTTATAAAAGAAGTGAAAACTACATCCAGTCTTAAAAGATGTGTAGCATTTGGAGAATCAATGCTGAGGAGTGTATTTCAGGCAAAAGGATCAGCATGAAGAGAGCTTTAAAAGCGGGAATCAGCTGTTGGGGGTAGTAAGGGAGCTTGTCACCAGAATGGAGGTTCATGCTGAGGACTGAGATGACAATGGGTAGGTTTTTTTGAGCCAGTTTATGGAGGTCTTAAGTGACAAGAGTAGGATAGAAGTTTAGATGTGATGGGTTCATAATCCAGTACAAGTTCTTAAGGAGACAAGTAACATAATGAAAATAGTATTTCCTCACAACAATAGAGAAAAAAGATAGAGGTAAAAAGGAAAAAAAAAAGGGGGCAGGGGAGAGATTGGAGTTACAAAGAACAAATAGAAGAGTCCTACAATAACAGTCCAGTCATGATATGGGAAGGGCCTGAAGTGAGTAGAAGACATGCTCATCTGGTTAAAGTTCATGGATGTGGGGACAGTGACATCAACTTGACGATGATAGGTGGAAAAGCATTGGTTAACTAACTGAATTTACATAATTGGAGCTGCTATAACTTGGAAGAGAAATTGCCCTTTTTTGTTAATCTGAGAAGGGAAAAGGACAGGGGAGAAAATCTCCTTTCACTTCTTTTTAGCAGTTTGCATCTTCTGTGGGGACTGTGGGAATAGTTAAGAGGCATTTTCAAAGGAGAAGTAATAGGACTTGGCGTGTGACTGAGGAGCACTGGTGGTGCAGTGGTTAAAGCGATCAGCTGCTAACTGAAATGCCTGCTATTCAAAACTACCAGCGGCTCTGCAGGAGAAAGATGTGGCAGTCTGCTCCTGTAGAGATTTACAGCCTTGGAAACCCTATGGGGTTGCTATGAGTTGAAACCAACTTGACAGCAGTGGGTTTTGTTTTGATTTAGTCCTGTTTCATCCTGGATGGTACAAACATTAACATACTTGGCTGCTGACCAAAGGGTTGGAGGTTTGAGTTCACCCAGAGGTGCCTCGGAAGAAAATTCTGGCAGTTTACTTCCAAAAAATCAGCCATTGAAAATCCTGTGGAATACAGTTCTGCTCTGACACACATGGGGTCGCCACAAGTCAGAATCTACTCAGTGGCAACTGGTAGTGGTAGTCCTGTTTCAAGAATAAAGACCTGTTGTATTTCACTACACCAAGAAGTCTGCTAGGCTCTTAGTAGGCCCTCACTAAATTTTTTAATGAGGAATAAGTACCATTTCACTAGATTCTTTTTCATCCCTTTTTGAATGTTTAGTGGACTGCCTAGAATAGCTTTCCTACTTCTCTGCTTTACTTGGTCACCTTGTGTTTGGTCATTGATGATTTAGTTTGCATAAATCTATAGAAGAGTATTTTAAAAGGGGAGAAAATCTGAAATTTCTTTCAACTAATGTATTCATTGTGCTTCTAATTAGCACTTAACTGTGAGTCACCCAGGGACTCCTGTAAATCAGTACATTTTCTTTTCGAAGGTAGGCTAAATCTAATGTGATATTAGGGAAAGAGCTGGGATTCATTCTGTCTTTTTTTTTTTTTTTTTTAAATAACATTTTATTGTGTTTAAGGTGAAAGTGTACACAGCAAATTAAGTTCCCATTTAATAATTTCTACACCAATTATTCAGTGATACAGGTTACATTTTTCATAATGTGTCGTCATTCTCATTCATTCCATTCTGGTTGTACCATTTCCAGTACTCTAGTTTCCCTGCCCCCTTACCGTCTTGTCTTTGCTTTAGAGTAATTTTTGACCGTTTGGTCTCCTGTGGATGATTTTTTGAAGGAGCTCATTACTCACAGGTAATATTCTTTATTTTATGACCCAGTCTATTATTTAGCTAAAAGGTGACTTCAAAGGATAATTTCAGTTTAAGGTTTAAAGAGTATCTCAGCATGATAGTCTTAGGGAGTCCTCTAGCCTCCACTGGTCCAGTAAGTCTGGATTTTTTCAGAATATGAATTCCGTTCCACATGTTTCTCCTATTCATTCTGTCTTTTTAATGATTGAAATAAAACTTTACTGCCCTTTTTTTTTTTAGGAAATATTCTGCTGTACGTAAGGATGGCTCTTTCCATTATGTTCATAGTACTCCCTTTGGCAACTATTCTTTCATCTGTGTGGATGCCACCCTCAGTCCAGGACCTAAGAGACCCTACAATTTCTTTGGAATTTTAAATGAGGTGCAGTAAAAATCTCACTTCCCTTTGTTGCTTATCTGTTTTATTTTTTCTCCAATACACGTAGTTCACTTAAAGTTATCCTAGGTAAACAAGTTCTTATCTAGAAATGCTTGAGAAAAATTTTACGGTGTTTATAGGTATGGCTAAAAGAAATTACTGGCTACTTCACTATTATTGCTATCCCTGTTCTTGTCTCAAAATCTGGGAAATAGTACCTCACGTTTTTTATTTATTCAGTGAAAATTTATTAAATAGGTACTAAGGGCAGGATGCACTTTGCAAGGTGCAAGGCATATAGCTTTATGTACTGTATTGTATATTTCTAAATCCCCATAACTGCCATTTCTAACTAATCCAGTTTTTTATAAGAGAAGGGCAACTATTGAAGTACATGTTTCTTTTAGTTTTGGCAAGGATAAGTGAAAACTGTTGGTAGATTGAAACTGTCTGGAAAGTCACATCAGAGAACCTTTCATTATTACTTCGTATGACAAATGCCAAGTCATTAAATAGTTAATGAGCAGGTGCCCGTATGTGAGGATACAAAGGTGATAAAATCAAGTCCCTGGCCTCTTAGAGTATTTTAAACTAGTGGTGGAGTATTATACCTGTACTGATAGCAGTAACTATAACAAAGGGCAGAATTTGCCAAGTGCTGGAAGAGGTTCAGAGTGATATGAGGTTCAGAGGAGCCTGAAATCAAGTAAACAGAGAATTAGTCAAGTGCATTATGTTATATTAGGCATTTTATTTAGTGAAGGTGTATTTTGTTTCCTACCTACCAAATATCTTTAAACAGAGTTGATTAACTTATTTATTATTTTAAATCCTACTTCTTAGAATATATATGTATATGTATATATACACACACACACATTATATACTTTGTTTTTTAGAATAGTATTTAAGGTATAATTCAAGGATTATCTGCATAGAAATCAACTAGATAGAGCCTTATAAAATTCAGATTCTCAGGCCCCATCCAAGACTTAACAAATTAGAAACTCTGAGGATAGGGCCCAGGAATTTATTGCTATAAGCACTTCACAGATAATATTAATGCATATTTATATATGTGCAAGCTGTTTTTTTAAATCAACTTTATGATATATGATTTGCATATAATAAAATACACTGATTTTATGTGTATAGTTTGAACAGTTTTGACAAATGTGTACACTGGTATAACCACCACCACAATCAAGACATAGAATGTGTCCATCACCCCAGAAAGTTCCCTTGTGCCACTTTGCAGTCTTCACTCCCAGTCCCAGGGAACCACTGGTTTTCTATCATTATAGATTAGTTTTACTTGTTCTAGAATTTTATATAAAGGAAATCATACAATATATATTCTTACATCTAGCTTCTTTTACTCTTTTGCTCAATATAATTTTTCTGAGATTGTATATGGTGGCATCAGACCTCGTCTAAATTCAGGAGGTGGAGAGAGGATCACCATCAACCCAAAGCTGATCCCTGTGAGGTAGAGGTCAGACATACCTCCACTCTCCAAACTTTTTACCAGTTCTGACACCAGCTGTCCTCCCCCACAGCACTCTCTACTTCTCTGCTAGGATCAATAATTCTTTGCACTAGCCACACAGAACTTACAGATTATACTCACAATTATGGGGTTTATTAGAGAAGTAACAGGTTATAGCTCGGGATCAGGATCAACTTGGAAGTAACAGGAACAACTTGGAAGACGGGATACAGTTTGTCAATCATTACAGCTTCCAACCTCTCAGTTCCTTCTCTGCTGTGCCTGCAAGCAGGCAGGCCTTGCTCTCAGCCTCTGCCTTGCTTGGGCAAGTGTTACAGCTCTTCAGCAGCTCCAGTAAGTGCCCGGAAGCACCCTACTCTGCCAGGAAGCCTCCTGCCTGAAGGCTGCTGCCATCTCGTGCTGCCTCCAGTGTTAGATCGCTCCCTGTCTCCTGGGTCTAGGAGGTTCTCAGCACAGGGACCCCGGGTCCAAAAGATGTGCTTTGCTCCTGGCTCTTCTTCTTCATGGTAGTGAGGTCATCCTCAACCTCAGTGGGATTGGCTCTTTAAAGCTTAGGGGAATGGCAAAACTGACCAATCCCTTTTGTAGGCCACAGGCACCTTATTTGCATAGCCACTGTCCAATCCCTGTAAGAGTTTTATACATCTTATTTGCATAGTCTTAGCCAATCATTTTGTGGGAATTATGAGACCATGACTAGAAAGACCACATAAAAGCAATTCACTGCACCACAGAGAGTCATCCATATTGTGTATATCAGCAGTTCTTTCCTTTTTATTGCTAAGCAGTATTTTATAGTATGGATATGCAGCAATTTATTGATGGTACCCAGTTTTTCACTATTCTATGAATAGAGTTGTTATGAACAACAGGTGTAAGTCTTTCTGTGGACATGTGTACATTTTGTTTTAGAAGTTTCATTTCAACATCCCCATTATTAATTACAATGTGGTATACAAGGCTGAAAAGATTTGTGGTGACTTCTTTCTCAGTTTTCTTCTCTGTCAAATGGGAATAATACCTGCCCTACTTATTGAAGAGAGCTATTATTAGGATTAAATAAATTATAATGCATGAGAACAGTTTGAAATTTATAGAGGTCCATGCAAGTCATTAATTAATAGGGTTTAAGCCCAGACCCAATATAACTACAGGCAGTCCCCAGGTTATGAATGAGAGCCATTCCTAACTCTGTATTTAAGTTGAATGTATAGGTAAGTTGGAACAGGCACATACAGTTCTTATTCAGCATCAGTTAGTCAAATGTTTGTCCTGGTAGTGTAGTGGTTAAGAGTTCGGCTGCAAACCAAAAAGCTGGCAGTTCGAATCCACCAGGCACTCCTTGGAAACTCTATGGGGCAGTTTACCCCATCCTATAGGGTTGCTATGAGTCAGAATCGACTTGACGGCAGTGGGTTTGGTGTTGTTTTTTTTTTTTTTTTTTTTTTTTAATGCATATAAAACACTTAATAAACACTTCCAAACCATGCAGTGATTTCATGACTGTCACAACATAGTGCGTGCATTTGTTATTATGAACCATTCTATGTATTTAACTCAAATTTTTAATATAATAGACTTCATGGCAGTCTGTTCTTAAGTACGAGTTGTCTGTAAATTGGAAGTTTGTAACCCAAGAGCTGCCTGTAGTATAAAACTTTAGGGGAATTGTTTAATCTGTTGACCGCTCCTAAGACTAGATTTCAGCCTGAGTCCTAATTAAAGACTCTTCTACTTTTCTTCTGTTTCAGAAACAAATGGAAGAGCTTTTATCACTTGCCAAGGAAAGTAGTTGGAGCAACCATACTATTTGGTTTGGACATTTTACAACATCTACTATCCTGTCTTCATCACCAGGAATCCGGTCAATAATGAGGTAAGACAGGCTTCTAAAATTAAAATGAATTGTTTTTAATTCATTGATGGTGCTCTACATACCTTGCTTTCCCAAAGAGGCATTTTTATTGGTTTGGCATCACAAGTTATCTTTTATCATTTATTCCATTTATTTTTCATTGATTAGTTCAGCCACAGCTTATTTGTGTGGGCACCTCCATACACTTGGTGGACTGATGCCTGTTTTGCACACGCGACACTTCCAGGGCACTTTGGAGCTTGAGGTGGGAGACTGGAAAGATAACAGAAGGTAAGGAAACTACCCCACAAAGTAAAACGTGTACATGTAAATTTTTTTTTTTCCAATTTTTATTTAGTTTGTTGTTGTTGTTGAGAATATACATAGTAAAACATATACTAATTCAACAGTTTCTACATGTACAATTTAGTGACATTAATTACATTCTTCGAGTTGTACAACCATTCTCACACTCCTTTTTTGAGTTGTTCCTTCCCCATTAATACAAACTCACTGCCCCCTAAGGTTCCTGTCTAATCTTTCAAGTTGCTGTTGTCTCTTTGATCCCATATAGATAGTTCTTAAAATACATGTAAGTTTTGCTAAAACAATGATAGAGTCTTCTTTTAATATCATGGTTGATCTCAGTTAAGGAAAAACTTGTGGGGTTTTTTTTTTTCTTTTTTTTTTTGTAATATATTTATCTAGTAGTCTTTGTCTTAAGCAAAAACTTTGTTGCAGCAGTGATGTTTGCCATATGTTACATAGGATTTTGAAGATGCATCCAGTAGGAAATAGTTCTCAAATCTAGTATACTCAAGAATTATGAGGGGCTCATTAAAAATGAAAAACTCTAGGCTCTACCTCTAGGGATTTTGATTTTGTTGGGCTGGACTAGGGCCCAAGAAACTGCATTTTTTAAAAGCCAACCAGGTGGCCTATGGACCACACTTTAAAAACATTAGTACTGGAAATACGTCATTTCCTCCCTAATTTTATACCTACCATTCTAGTTATTGCTATGTTAGTGATTTAAGTTCTTGACATAGATGATGGTTGACTTCATTAAGGTTAAAGCCTTTCGAATAGAGAACATTTATTAAAATCATATAGTATAGTTAACTATATATTTTAACTACTGTATTTTTACGCAGATAATGCACGCCTTCTACGTTTGTTTGCCAACCGCGCCTTTCCCCTGTGAGGTATTTTCATAAACGTCACTATGCCAATTGTTTTTACATGTTGCTGTAAAAAAAAGTTAGCATAGCGTGTTTACGAAAATACCTCACGGGGGAGGGCACAATTGGCAAACGTAGAAAATGTGCATTACTTGCATAAAAGTGTGTGTGTGTGTGTGTATGTAAAACCAGTTGCCGTTGAGTCTGTTCCGACTTATCGAGACCTGTAGGACAAAGCAGAACTGTCCCGTAGGGTTTCCAAGGCTATAAATCATTACATTAGCAGACTGCCACATCTTTCTCCAGCGGGGCAGCTGGTGGGTTCCAACTACTGACCTTCAGTTAGCATCCGAGCGCTTTACCCACTGCACCACCAGGGCTACAAATATATATATACACACAGATATATACACAGGTATATGTATGTATATGTATAGTTAGCCATATATTTTGAGAAGAATTATTTAAGTGAAATATTAGTTATCTAAGTATAGATGAGTATCATCTCATTGTTTAGCTATTATCAATTGCTATTTAATTCGTTCAGACTTCCACCTCTCAAGATATAAAGCATTCGATAAGTATTTATTGAGCTGAATGTCTTTCTATTTTTAACTACTTCCTTTAATTAAAAAGCAGCTTTACATCTTGGAAAGCACATCCTCATTTCTGTTAGCTTTTCTAGAAACTGTATAAGAGCTTCCTTGAAGCCTGTAATTACTTGGCAGCTGTAACTACTTTGAGCTAAGACCTGTCTACTCGTGGCTGTGAGGATGTGGGCTGGGCTGTGATTGCCTTTTGCCAGATAGCCTTCTTAACCCTTGATCAGCTTCTTGATTTCTTATAAATGCTATATTTACAAGTTAAGTGATATTTATTGTAAAACCATTTCCCTTCCTTCTCTTCCCACCTGCTCTCCTGTGTTCCAGCCCTGGCATTTTATTTGCACTTTTATAGAAAGGACCTAACTTTTACTTGCCCTTATAAACATTTAAATTGTATTAGTTAAAATAAGACAAATTTTTTTTTTTCTTTTTACTGTGGTAAATATATAGGTAACAAAACATTTGCCATTTCTACAATCTTCACATGTATAGTTCAGTGACATTAATTTTGTTCATTATGTTGTTCAACCATCACTATTAACCATTCCTGAATTTTTACATCACCCTAACAGAATCTCAGTGAGCCCTAAGCATTGTGAAAATAAAGACAGTTTAAAAAACAAATAAACAAAACAGTTAGTAGATTAGTAATATTAGGCTAAGCTTTGTTATGGATGCAGATAAATCAGAAAATGTCAATGGGATAACCCAACAAAAGTTTATTTTTTATTCATGTAAAGTCCAGTGTGAGTCAGGGCAGCTGTCTTCCATGGGGTGACTGAGGGATTCAGGCTTCTTCTATCTTATAATGCTACTGTCTGAACACCTTGATCACAGAGCAGGGAAGAGAGCACGGAGAATGCGTACCCACCCTTACGTACTTTAGACGAGAAGTGTGACACGTGTCACTTCTGTTCACAGCCCAGTGGCCAGAACTAGTTACATGGTCCCAGCCTAATGCCAGGGAAACTGGGAACCACAGGAGAGCTTGTGGACTGTTTGGTGAGCACTGTTGTTTCTGCCACAGTTAATCACCTTTTTCCTCAATTCTACAAGTCAGAAAGTACAAGACTTTGTTTACACTTTAATGAATATTTTATACCTTTCATCATGCATTTGGAAAATCAAAACAACTTAACTTTTGTTAAAATCTGTGAAATTATAGAAATAAAGGTTTAAAGGAAGTATGGAATGTTTCTAATTGTGTTCATATCAATCATTTAGTATTTTATGTATTATTGTTGATGAGATGAAGAATGTCAGATATTAAGATTATAATGAATGTCTTAGGTTCCAAATAGTCTTAAAGTATTAAAGTAAATGAACTAATTCAACCAGCACTTATTTAAAAATGAAAGAGTGCATTCTGTGTACCAGGCATTGTTGTAGAGCACTACTAAATTCATTGCCTCAGTCAGATCCCAGGAGATTTGACAGGCATGAAGGATAGAGTGATTAGAATGAGGAAAGACAGAGAAACAATATTGTTTATCCTGCATTCAAATTCATGATGTAAAAAAACACTAGTTTTGTATTTTTACATACATTTCCTGTATTACTTCATGCCCTTTTATAATATGAAGTTACTAAATTTTCTTATTGTCTTCTGATCTCTAGGTACCGGATATTTGCTTTTGATCACGACCTTTTTAGCTTTGCAGATTTGACCTTTGGCAAGTGGCCTGTGGTTCTTATCACCAACCCTAAATCACTCCTCTATAGCTATGCTAAACATGAACCCCTAGAAAGACTCCTTCACTCCACACACATCAGGTAGGTAGCAGTTTTTCAGAATTGACTTTCAGGTTGATATTGATGGAGAATAACTTATTGTGCCTGCATTCTCATGTGAAAGCTATGAGATATCCCATATCAGTTTTCTCAATAACGTACACATTATGTAAATTGCTTACTGTTTTGTTTGTATTCAGTTAAAATATAAATACATATATTTTTAAACTGATGACATTTTAAAAATTACCCAGAAGTCCAATCTCCTACCATTATTATTTTCGTGTATTTTATCCCAGTCTTTTTATATGCATGTCGTATATTGCTATAGGCATACCTTGGAGCTATCCCAGGCGCGGTTTCAGACCACTGCAACCAAGCAAATATGACAATAAAGGGAGCCACGCAGATTTTTTGGTTTCCCAGTGCATATAACAAGTTAGTTTACATTATACTGTAGTCTGTTAAATGTGTAATAGCATTATGTCAAAAAAAAAACAATGTACATACCTTAATTTAAAAATACTTTATTGCTAAAAAATGATAGCTGTCATCTGAGCCTTCAGCAAGTTGTAATCTTTTTGCTGGTGGAGGGGTTTGCCTCGATGTTGATGGCTGCTGACTGATAAGGGTGGTGGCTGCTAAAGGTCGGAGTGGCTGTTGCAATTTCTTAAGACAGCAATGAAGTTTGCCACATTGATTGACTCTTCCTTTCACAAAAGATTTCTCCGTAGTATGCGATGCTGTTTAATAGCATTTTATCCACAGTAGAACTTTCAAAATTGGAGTCATTGCTTTATCAACTAAGTTTATGTAATATTCTAAACCCTTTGTTGTCATTTCAACAATGTTCACAGCATCTTCACCAGGAGTAGATTCTATCTCAAGGAACCACTTTCTTTGCTCATTCATAAGAAGCAACTCCTCATCTGTTAAAGTTTTATCATGACATTTCAGTAATTCAGTCACATCTTTAGGCTCCACTTCTAAATCTAGATCTCTCCACCACATCTGCAGTTACTTCCTTCACTGAAGTCTTGAACCCCTCAAAGTCATCCATGAGGGTTGGAATCAACTTCTTCCAAACTCCTGTTAGTGTTGATATTTTGACCTCCTCCCATGAATCAAGAATGTTTTTAATGGCACCTAGAATGGTGAGTCCTTTCCAGAAGGTTTTCAATTTACTTTGCCCAGATCCATCAGAGGAATCACTATCTGTGGTAGCTATCTCCTTACAAAATGTATCTCTTAAATAATAAAACTTGAAAGTTGAAATTACTTCTTGATCCATGGGCTATAGAATGGATGTTGTGTTAGCAGGCATGAAAACATTACTCTCCTTGTACGTCTTCTTCAGCGCTCTTGGGTGACCAGGTGCATTGTCAATGAGCAGTATTATTTTGAAAGGAATCTTTTTTTCATAACAGTAGATCTCAACAGTGGGCTTAAAATATTCAGTAAACCATGTTGTAAACAGATGTATTGTCATCCAGGCTTTGTTGTTCCATTTATAGAGCATAGGTAAAGTAGATTTAACATAATTCTTAAGGGCCCTAGAATTTTCAGAATGGTAAATGAGCGTTGGCTTCCATTTAAAGTCACCAGCTGCATTAGCCCCTAACAAGAGTCAGCCTGTCCTTTGAAGCCAGGCATTAACTTCTTCTCTCTAGCTATGAAAGTCCTAGATGGCATCTTCTTCCAATATAAGGCTGTTTCGTCTACATTGAAAAGCTGTTGTTTAGTGTAGCCACCTTCATCAGTTATTTTAGTTAGATCTTCTGGATAACTTGCTGCTTTACCTTGCACATTTATGTTATGATGGATATAGCTCCTTTCCTTAAGCATCATGAACCACCGTCTGCTAGCTTCAGACGTTTCTTCTGCAGCTTCCTCACCTCTCTCAGCCTACGTAGAATTAAAGAGAGTTAGGGCCTTGCTCTGGATTAGGTTTTGGCTTAAGGGAATGTTGTGGCTAGTTTGATCTTCTATCCAGACCACTAAAACTTTCTCCTTGTCAGCAATAAGGCTGTTTTGCTTTCTTACCACTCGTGTGTTCACTGAAGTAGCACTTTCAATTTCCTTCAAGAACTTTTCCTTTGCATTCACAGCTTGGCTAACTGTTTGCCACCGGAGGCCTAGCTTTCAGCCTATCTCAGCTTTCTATATTCCTTCCTCACTAAGCTTAATCTTTCTAGCTTTTGATTTAAAGTGAGAGATGTGCGACTTTTCCTTTCACTTGAACACTTAGAGGCCATTGTAAGGTTATAAATTGGCCTAATTTCAATATTGTCGTGTCTTAGGGAATAGGGAGGCCCAAGGAGAGGGAGAGAGATGGGGAACGGCTGGTCGGTGGAGCAGTCAGAACACATAAAACATTTATCAGTTAAGTTTACCGTCTTGTATGGGCGTGGTTCGTAGCACCGCAAAACAATGACAATAGTAATATCAGAGATCACTGATCACAGATCACCATAACAGAGATAATACTAATGACAAAGTTTGAAATATTGCAAGGATTACCAAAATGTGACACAGAGACATGAAGTGAGCACATGCTATTGGAAAACTGGCACCAATAGACATGCTTGACACAGGGTTGCCACAGACCTTCAGTTTGTAAAAAATTTAATATGTTAAGTGCAGTAAAACAAGGTATGCCTGTGTAATCATAATGCACATATTCCTTTATATAACTTATTTTATATTAAAAATTCACATTATATATTAGAAATATATATTTTTTCATCTTGCTACATGGTCTTCCAATAAAGCAAAAGCTTTCTAAATCTTATGGAATTGAAAATGCAATTGACATGTGAATATGATGGTATAGATTAATAGAGTCTTCATGGGACGTTATAATTCCTTTTGCAAAGAGGTGCACCGCCTCTCTCAAGTGTAACAGCACTGTTTTAAATACTCTTTTATTTTGAAAAGAAATATAACAACGGTTGGAAAATAGAGTGATAGGATTATAAAGATTATTTAGGGGAGTTTTCCTCCCTCAAATAGAACTACTGTTAACATTTCTGAGTTTTCCTTCTTGGGTCTTCTGTTTTAGGCACGCTTTTATATACTTGTAATCATAGGATTTCCAAGGAGTGCCTGGTGGATTTGAACTGCCAAACTTTTGGTTAGCAGCCAAACTTTTAACCACTACGCCACCAGGGTTTCCATCATAGGGCACAGTCTAGTCTAATACCTATTTTTTTCTCTTAACATTATATGGTTGCTAGATTGTCTTCATAATGATTATTTTAATAACTGCTTAATATGCCATTCTTATAGAATGGTTAATGCTTTCGGCTGTTAACCGAAAGGTCAGCGGTTCAAACCTACCAGCCGCTCTCCAGGAAAAAGATGTGGCAGTCTGCCTCTGGAAAGATTACAGCTTTGGAAACGCTGTGGGGCAATTCTACTCTGTATTGTAGGGTCGCTATGAGTCAGAATCGACTCCACAGCAGTGGGTTTGGGTTTCGGTAACGTTTCATCGAGTTAGAATGTATCACAATTTTTATAACCGTTTTCCTATTTTATTGGTGAACCTTTAGTTGTGTTTTTTTTAAGTTTGGGGATGATCATCTGGTGCATATAGGTTCTTCCTTCATTTGAATAATTTCTTTAAGATAGAGTTTTAGACATAGGATTCTAAGTGAAAAAGTTTGAGGAATTCCTTTATGATTGTTGATAAAGATTGCCCAATTACTTTTTAAAACAGATTTACTGCTTTATAATGTTACCAAGCAATGTGAGGGCCAGCTGCACAGTACTCTTATGATTATTGGATATTATACTTTTTAAAAAGAATTTTTTAAAGTATATTTTTCACTAATTAATTAAAAATTTTCACTAATTAATGTGAAAAAAATGGTGCCAAGCTCTTAAATTTACATAATTTTGATTACCAGTGAAGTGGAGTACACATCTTAGTCAGGTGTCTGATAGGAAGTTGATACCAGATTTAAGGGTTATTCTCTCTGAAGGGAAGCCTAGCCCTTTACATGACATTGCTTCTTCTGGGCGATATGTTAGGAACCAAATGAGCAGATGGTAGGCTTCATATTATCTTAAGAGGAGTGTGCCATGATAAAAACCAGGACTTGAAGAATTTTTTCGGAGTGAACTTGAGATCTACTCCAGCAGGGTTTGTTGAAAGAAAGTTGATTTTCTTTCCTAAAAAGTAAAAGAATATAGGAGTTCCTAATTTCTCACCAATTCAGGTTTGCTGAACTGTACAAATCCAAAAGCCCCCATTCAGGTGGAAACCAGAAGCATGTGAATGGCGATGCCTACAAGTTGCGCAGTGTGATTGTTCTTCCTATAATATCTTTTCCAGGTACAAAAGGACTTTCCTTCTTTATAAAAACAATCACCTAAAACCACACATTCATGTATGCTCCCATTCTAGAGTCTTGGCCTTTTCCTCATCCTCTATTACTTCTGTCGCAGTTAAGATTGATGGAGTTCATTTAGGGGAGGCTGTTCATTTGTCTGGTCCTATTTTCATACTAAAGTGGAATCCCAGAAACTACAGTAATGGGACACACAACATAGAAGTAATTGTCCAGGTAAGTTAGTAATGTTCAGCTTGCTATGTAAATGATTAGGCTGTATCCACACTGAACTCTGATTTAGGGGATTTCTCAGTCAACTGGTAAAGATGAAACTAAGTTTAATTTTGAAAAATTCAATATAATGTATCTAGTATATTCTGAAAATGAACTCTATCTAGAATAGGTAAATTCATAAAGATAGAAAATAGAATAGAGGTTACCAGGAGCTGGGGGAAGCCGGAAATGGGGAGTCTACTGTTTAATGGGATGGTGAAAAAGTTCTGGAAATAGATAGTGGTGATGTTTACACAGCAGCGTAAATGTACTTAATACTGCTGAATTGTACACTTAAAAATGGTTAAAAAGGTCAATTTTATGTACGTTTTTCCACAAAAGAAAGTAATGAAAAAAATGTAGCTATTCAGAGATAGCAGCCCTGGTGACGCAGTGGTTAAGAGCTCGGCTGCTAACCAAAAAGGTCGGTAGTTCGACTCCACCAGTCGCCCGTTGGAAAGTTCTTCTCTGTCCTGTAGAGTCACTATGAGTCAGAATCGACTCAGCGGCAATGGGATTTTTTTGGTTTATTCAGAGATAACTGAGAAAAGCTATTGGGAACTTACTCTTGGAGGGTTATATTTAAATCTTCTTGAGAGTTACTTCTCTGCTGTGCTTATAACTAGGATTCTGCTGGAAGGAGAAAGACCGTTCACCACGTATTTTCTGTTGAAGAGGATCTTCATCTCACGTTTGATCCCCTGGCATCATTTATTCTTCTTACTGACCACTATATCATGGTGAGTGAATTCAACAAATGTTATGTGTGTTTTTACTGGATTTGGTAAATCCAAAGTCCAAAATAATATGGTCATGTAAAGAGAAAGCTGAACCTTATAGATAAAATTAAATTTTTGTTATATAGAAGAATAAGATGCTTTTAAGTTGATTTGAATTAGAAGATGCAGAGGCCTGAATAAGCAATACTGTGATTTGGGACCAGGTTCTAACCAATGCCATAAAACCAGGATAACTGATGGAATTATAGGGATTGTACTGAGTTGGCTTAAGGATTGTTAAAAAATATATAAATAATATATGCTCAGTATAGAAAACTTGAAAACTATAGAAATCTATAAGAGGAATCAGCCACACATCACCCTTTTATCATACTACCCATTATAACCATTGTATTTATCTTTATGATACTCTCTGTTTCCTTAGTTTTCTCTCTCACATGCATATAAAACCCATCCCATTGCCGTTGAATCAATTCCAACTCATGGTGACCCTGTAGGACAGAGTAGAACTGCCCCGTAGGGTTTCCAAGGCTGTAAATCCTTACATTAGCAGGCTGCCACATCTTTTTCCCATGGAACGGCTGGTGGGTTCAAACTGCCAGCCTTGGGTTTAGCCCCTGATTGCTTAACCACTGTGTCAACAGGATTCAATATACGTGTACTATATATATATATAATATATATGTATGTATACACATATATACATATATGTATGTGGTATTTTTCATTCTCTTTTGCTGTCTGATTTTTTTTAACTGAAGGATTGTTTTGACCATTTTGTCACATCAATTTATTTTATTTTATAACGTGATATTTATTGGCCGCATTATAAAAATTGTCCTTAACCAAAAAAAAACCAAACCCATTGCCATCAAGTTAATTCCAACTCACAGCAACCATATAGGACAGGGTAGAACTGCCCCCTAGGGTTTCCAAAGAGCGACTGGTGGATTCGAACTGCTGACCTTTTGGTTAGCAGCCAAGCTCTTAACCACTGCGCTACCAGGGCCCCTGTATTTTCGTAGATATACCATAATTTATTTAAGCACTCCCCTACTGTTGGACATTTAAGTTGTTTCCATTTTTTTTTTCTCTAGTATAAATAATGCTTGTAACAAAGTTTTTGTATATATCTCTAATGAAGTTAGTTGGGATAAATTCCTAGAAGTGACTTGCTGGATCAAAGGGTGGGCACACTATTCTCTATACTTATTTATTATGATTATTATAAGTTACTTATTATTTATTAATTGCTTTTTATCTGTCCTGCCTATTACAATATAAGCCCATGAGGTCAGGGAACTTGTCTGTTTGGTGTTGCAATACATAGTAGGCCCTCAATAAATATTTTTTGAATGAATAAATGGGTATTTTTATTTACTTATTTTTATTTTTATTTTTTTATTGTGCGTTAGGTGGAAGTTTACAGAGAAAATTAGATTCCCACTCGATGGTTTGGACATAAAGTGTTTCACGGCCTTGCTTTTCTTCCCCACAGTGTGTCAGCACTCTCCCCGTTTCTACCCTGGGCTCCCCTTTACCTTTCGGCCTGATTTTCTGCCCCTTCCCACCTTCTCATCTTTGCTTTTGGGTAAATATTGCCCGTTGATCTCGTATGAGTGACTGATTTAAGGAGCACGTTGCTCTCGAGTGTTACTGTTGGTTTTATGGGCCTGTCTATGGTTGGGCTGGAAGGTGGTCTCCAGGAATGACTTCAGTTCCAGGTCAGAAGTGTGTCTTAGGGCCATAGTCCCAGAGGTTCCTTCATTCAGTCTTTGTCAGACCAGTAAGTCTGATCTTTTTTGTGAGTTTATTTTTTGTTCTACATTTTTCTCCTGCTCTGTCGAAATGAGTGTTTTTCAAGTTTTTAATATATACTATCAAATAGTTTTCCAGAGAAACTGTGGCGATTTATACTTTATTTCCCTTGGGTCTCACCTATCCTTGGTATTAACATAAAATACAAACATGTTGTAAAGAAAATTTAAATGTTGCTTAATTTCACCTCCCAGAGATAGCCATCGTTGGTCATTTTAGCATGTACCCTTACAGAATTAAAAAGTACATTCATTTTTATTTTAATTTACTTTTCTTTTATTGTGTGATTATTGAGCTTTTTAAAAATACGATTAATAGGCATTTGTATCTCATTTTATAAATTTTTTATTTTTTTGTCATTTGTTTTGCTTTTTGAGATTTTTAATAATCACCTAGATCCACCTTCATATATTTTTAATGTGCATAGGAATCACCTGGGAATTTTATTAAAATGTCGATTCTGATTCAGTAGGTCTAGGCTGGGGCCTGAGATTCTGCTTTTGTAACAGCCTCAAGGTGGTTTCAGTGATGGTCTGGGCACCATTCCTTGAGAAGCAAGCATCTAGATCAGTCCCTGCTGACTCAGCTTCTGGTATACATATGTAATATTTTTTAACCTTACTCAACTTTAAATAAAACAAAACAAATTATACTTCTCCCCATACAGTGAAAGTGGACTATTTTAATTTGATGACTTAATATAATTGTGTAAAAGTACTTAGTTTCAGTATTGTCTAAATATCCAAATTCTGAAAGAGTAATGCTGAAGCACCTTATAATTTTCTTTTTTGATGGATCAGATGTTTGATTCTTTTTGACCATGTCTTTTTCTTACATAGTCTTTTTTTGTCAATAATGCCACTTCCAGTTTTGTTAACAGTGCCATTTAAAAATCTTAACTGAAGCTGTGCTCATGTATTATTTCACATTGACATCTATGTCTCTGCAGGCCCGGGTCCTTTTTGTGCTTATTGTGCTGATCCAGCTCACCATTCTCATTATTTTTAGGTATCGAGGACATCCAAAGCTTAAAGGTTAGTCATGGTCCCTTTCATTCTTAGAAGATTTTGTTTTAAAGCTTTCACATAATATCCTCACTAACACCAGTTCTGACTTGGCAACCCCATAGGGTTTCCAAGACTGTAAATCTTTACTGAAGCCGACTGCCAAATCTTTCTCCCACAGAGCCACTGTTGGTTTTGAACCACTACGTTTTGGTTAGCACTTGAGTGTTTTAACCACTATGCCACCAGGACTCCTTATCCTCACTAATACTAAGTGATAAACATCAACATAAATTGTCTTTGCATGAGCTCTGTGAGTTGTATCCTTCAAACTATTATACTATTTCCATGATACCCTATCTTGAAAAAAAATCAGTGTTTTGCTGCTACCTAGCTGCAAAATGAGGCTCAACTAAAATGGGGGGACAAACCACAATATAGCTCACAGTGACCAACTTTTAATATAAGTAACTATTTAAACTAATTCTGAAGCCTATTCATTCAAGTAATTAAAGTAAGGTACTAAACAAAGCTTGACTAATTAAAGGATGTAGGTACATATTTTGAATTACACATACAGAGCAAGCCACCTAAACGTTGTAAAGAAAGTGACTTTGCCTGTGGTGCCCCCTACCTCTCTTGACAGATGTCTGTACCTGGATATGGTCCCCCCCATCATCTGGTAATAACAGAAAATGAAGGTTAATTGATAATTATTAATATACAGCCACTCTTAGGGGAATGTGAACTTTAAAACAGGGTCATTGAGGAAGGAGGGTCCTACTTCCTAACCAGACTTCTTCCCACGCTTCTTAACCATTGTTCCTCACTGTCGGGAGCCTGAGACTTAGAGGAATATTTGTCCATAGTGACAATCAGCCTCATCGCAGACTTCTTAAGATGATTTATCAGTATCTGACCCTTCCCTCACCCACCCTAGATGACATATGTGAAAATGCCTACTTTGATGCCTGGCACACAGCAGGTGCTCCATAAATATTTGTGAAGTCTATTGAATCTCACCCCATTGAGGAAGTAAATAAAGATTTGCCACGCCATCTCTGATAGCTGCTAAAAAAATTTGCCAAGCCTTTCTAGCTATGGTTTTGGAACATTAAAAAGGTCTTTGGCTGTTTATTTCTTTCTAGTTTCCCTTCAGTAAACCTAGGCTGATACTAGATTGGATAGTGGTGCTGTTGATGGTCTTTTGGAACAGTGAAGCTTCCCATAGGTATGTTTTGACAAACGAGTAATATGCTTTTCCATTCAATTATGCCTTTTCTACTAAAATATCTCTTTATAAACATACGTGTATAAAAGCACTAACATTGACTATTAGCAGTGATTAGAGAGTTATAAAATGTAGGTACAAGAAAAGAAACTTTCTCACTAATTTTCAACTATTTCCATCATTCATTTCTTAATCTAACTTTGGTTCTGTTAATTGGCCCTTCTTAGGTTGATAGCTAACACATTCCTGATTTGCTTGAAAACCTCTTTCTCTTTTCATTCATCACGATTTATTGCAGTGATGCCCAAACCTGGCAGCACATCAGAATCACCTGGGCACCTTTTTGATATAAAATGGTATGTTTTTTATTCTCATATTGACTGAATCAAAATACTTGGGGAAGTGGTCTGGGAACCTCCATTTAAAAAAGCACTTCCCAGATGATTCTGAAGAGCTGCCAGATTTAGAAACCACTACTTGACTTTCTAAACCCAAAAAGAAACAGAAGTAGTCACGGCCGTTTTATAATTATCCATAGGGCTTTTCTGTTAGTTGGCTTTCAAGTCTTTTGAAGACTGAGCATGGTTTCTAATTTTAAAGCAACATTAAATTACATATTAATACTTGTCCTTCACTGATTCCCTTAACTACAACAAAGAGCTACAGATGCTCTGCTGTCTCCTTTAAAAGTAATTTGTCCCTGTACAGATACAAAGAATCTAGTTTCAAAGTCTACTTAAACAGGATTATGACCTAAAATGGTATAAAATGGTTTCTCTGCCGTTTTGGACCCTTGCCGTAAAGATTTAACAGAAACGTTTGCATTTTAAAAATATTCATTTGAATGGCAAGTATGGATAAAGATCCTGAAGTTATTTCACGGTTCACATGTGGGAAGAAAGAAAAGTAGACCACCCAGTTCTCAAGTTCACTCCCTGCCACATCCTTGGCCGGCTCCATCTTCCTTCTTCTTCCTGGGATATGGTACTCTGTTGACTGTTCCTTCTTTCTTAAGAACCTCTGTTCTCGGTCTGTCAGTGTTACTGCACTGTCCTACTTCCCCTCCGCCTTCTCCGATCCTCCTTTCTGCATTTCCTTCACAGGCTTCTCTTCTCATAAGCCTCAAATAAATGACGTCTGCTGCGCTCTACTCTTCTTTTTTTTTTTTTAACATTCTGTCATTTAGAAAACTGCTTCAGAGTTTCACCCATCACTGCTTTATGGATGTTTCTCAAATTTTAATATCGTTCCTGATCTCTCTCACTGAGCCCCCAGCTGCCTACTAGATATTTCTATGAGGAAAATCCTAACATCCGTCAAGCCCGCTCCTTTACTTTCCTCTCTCTCTTCATGGCACCATTACTCCCTTTATCATTTTTCCCTAATCCCTGATCTTCAGTCCCTAATGCCAATATATAATTAAAGCCTGTTAATTCTTTCTTCAAACGTTTCTTTTCCTTTTGAAGGGCCGTCAATGCCATGTCAATACCACCTTCTCTCTTGATTACTGAATAACTGCTGCTCCTACATCCAGTCTCTCCATCTCATCCATCCTCTTCCTCATTAACAGATTACCCATCTCGTGGCATCGTATTCAGAAGATCACTTCCATGGTCCAAAGCCTTTAGGGGCTCCCCAGAACCCACGAATAAAGATGAGACAAATCTGTTAGACGTTAAAGACACTCCACAATCTGGTCTTACCTAACTAGCCACATCTTCAACCATTTATCTGTATTTCAGCCTAGACAGTTTCTTCACTGTTCCCTACACATCGATACTCATTTCTGCTGCTTTGCTTTTGCCCCTGCTGTTATCCCTGATTTAAATTATTTTTCTAATCTTCAAAGGATCTCTCGTTGGTGCAGTGGTTAAAGCGCTTAGCTGCTAACTGAAAGGTCAGCGGTTCAAACCCACCAGCTGCTCCGCGGAAGAAAGATATGGCAGTTTGCTTCCGTATAGATTACAGCTTTGGAAATCCTATGGGGCAGTTCTGCTCTGTCCTACAGGGTGGCTATGAGTCAGAAGCAACTTGATGGCAGTGGGTTTGCGGGTTTATCTAAACCTTAGCCTCCTTTAGGACTCAGCTCAAGCCCTCTTTTTCCATACCATTTTCTCCAGCCATTCCAGGTCATGATGAGATCTTGTTTCTCTGTATCCCTATAGTCCTTCCTGACGATTAATTCTATACTTAATCAGACAATCACCTTGCTTTGCACAACCACTTCAAATGTATGTACATTTTCTCCTATACACAGTCTCCAGGTTGTAAATTCCTGAATAGGAACTCGGTTTTCTTCTTCTTTTCTGTTTCCCACAGAACCCAGCACTGATGTATGTACATAATAGACAGTAAATATGTTGAATTAAATTTTCCTTATCCTTTCCTAACTTGGATGAAATCCCAGGGATCAGGGACTGATGGTAGAGGAGTGAAGAAGAGGGCGAAACAGCTCCTTTCTGTGCTATATTAATGATTAAACAGCAAAAATGGTTAAATGGAAGACAGTTAACTGAATAGTACTGTACACACTACTAAATGTTTTCCTGCTTATATTTATTTTTAAAAATTCTATCAAAAAGTTTGAGAAGCCTTGTTACACGTGGGTATTTTCCTGCACATATCATAAGTAACAAGTATGTAAGGGCCCCAGATTCATTATATGGGACTACCAATATCTTTGCACAGTTATTTAAAATTTACAATATATTTTACCTACATTATCTCACTTAATCCTTATAACAATCCTGTGACATAGGTATTATTGTCGCCATTTTAAAGACTAGAAAACAAAGGCGTGGGGAAGTTACATAGTTTGTTCAATGTCTCATAGCTAATTAGGAGACAGAAGAGATACAAAACCCAAGTCTTCTGACCCAAGGTCAGTTCTTTTTCTAGAGAACAGTTCTTAACTTTGGCTGCATCTTAAATTCCCTTGGGTAACTATAAAAATGTCAATGTCTACACAGCACCCTAGCTGATTGCATATGAGTCTCTAGGGATGAGACCTAAGCATCAGTATTTTTTAAAGCTCCCCAGATGATTCCAATGTGCAGTCAAGGCTGAGAAGCAATGCTCTGTCTAAAGCAGTATTTCTCAATCCTGGCTGCTTAGAATCACCTGGGTTGCTGTTTAAGCTCCCGTCTCTACCCCAGGCCAGTTAAATCAGAATCTCCGGATTTAAAATTCCCTCAGGTTATTCTAATATTCTAATGTGCAGCTGAAGTAGAGAATCCTTGCTCAGAATTTAAAGAATATCTGCCTATAAGCTAAAAGGTTATTTATTTTAATAAATAATTATTATTATAACTGGATATGTAGATTAAGACTTTGAGAAGTACCAGAGTAGAACAAAAAAGAATCTAAGAAAGAAACGAGTAGGAGTTATGTACCACAAAGTGAAAAGGGTCATGTATTATCGGGCTTCGTGTGAAATTAACTCTGTCAGCAGGCTGAACAGTTTTAAGTATAAAGTGAATATGGTGGCGTATTAGCAACTTATTTAACTTTTATCAGGCTGTCTTTCATTGGGATCAGACCTTTAAATATTTCTCATTTCTAGTGTTGCTCAGTGTACGCTGAGCTTCTTATCATAGTCTTCTGCTGACTGGTTTATTATCAGCCACATATGTGAGTGTAATGGCTGGCTGGGGTTGAAGATCTGTGGTATTTTAGTTTGTGGCCACAGAATGGACTCCTCTGTGTCAAGAAGCTCTTACGCTGGAGCTTTTTGGCACTATATTTTACAAAGATGTTAATTTGGAGAGCTTTAAGGATCCCTTTGAGTTGGTTTAAGAGGATAACTATAAGTTAAAAGCTGTATCAGTTACGTGAAAGGAATATTTGGACGGATACTCATATTTAAGATTAGACTGAAGAAATTCTCAGAGAATCCAGAGTTTCTGGAGCCATGGAGGCTGGATGAACCGCTGAAACTATTGCCCTGAGATAATCTTTAAACCTTAAACCAAAAATATCCCCTAAAGTCTTTGTAAAACCAAACAACAGTTTAGCTTAACTAGTAAAGCGTGTCTGCCTTGAGCATTGTGCTCTTTTAAGATCTACCTATATGGGATAAATTGACAACAGCAATTCAAAAGATTAGATAGGAAACTCATGGGCAGTGAGTTTATGTTAATGGAGGAAGAACAGTTCGGAAAAGGAGAGTGAGAATGGTTGTACAACTTGAAGAATGTAATCAATGTCACTGAATTGTACATGTAGAAATTGTTGGTGTATGTTCTGTGTATATTCTCAACAACAACAAAAGATTAGACTGAAGACATTTTGATGTTCCTTTGATATATTTTGATATGCCTTAGGGAAATTTATACATTTGGATACTAAATCCCATAGAAAACAAAGACTTTGATCATCCTTTCAACACATCTCCTTCAAACCTACATGAAGATAAAGTAGCATAGTTTTCTGGCAGGTATTTCTTTATTGTACTCAGTCTTATATATATATACACACACATACACCACAACTACACCCTTTGTTTGAACTTTCTGTCCTCTGCAATTCTAAGTGAATTGGTGTACCAGGATTTCTGCCAACTTCTGAATTTAAAGTGGGATCATCTGTATATAGTTACCATACAACAAAGGATTTGCTGAATATATAGCAAACAGCCCGTGGAAGTATTCTAGAAAATGTTATAAAGAAATTGAGCTTTGCATGTGTTCACTGGATTTTTCAAATTTATTTTGTTTAGGACCTCCAGGATTTGTAAATCTGACCTCATTTTCCCTTCATGTCTTGAGCAAAATAAACATCTTCTACTATTCTGTGTTGTTGCTGACCCTATATACAGTGCTAGGTAAGTAAATTAGGAAACCTGAAGTTGTAGAGAATTCTGCCAAAGGATACATAGAACATTTTGACAATGGAGTTAATTGGGCCCTTGAGGGCATAACGGATCCTTATAAGTCATTTCCGGGGACATAGTCTTGGAAAATAGAGTCTTTTCCTAATATGTTTAAAGGACCTTTAGTCGACACCAGGTTAACTTAAGAGTGCCGAGAAGACTGTTAAAGAAATGGTATTTGTGTAGAAACCTAATAGTAGAAGTACAGCTTAAATGCCACCTCTTCAGGACAGCCCTCTTTGATTACCTTAAAGTTTTACCCTATATTTCATAACACTTTTTATTTCCTTCATTACCCTTAATCAAAATTTACGATTATCTTGTCTATAATCTGTCCTTTCATTAGAATAGCCATTGGAGTCTTGTCTATCTTGTTCACCTCTGTGCCCACACTAAGCACAACGGCCAGTGTGTGATTCATGAGTATCTACTAATGTGTGGTTCCAAAAACTCAGCTCCAAAGAGAGAGAAACTGAGATAAGCAGTGAGTTCAGGCATATCTAAGTGCTTCTGTTGCATTTTTAATTATTATATCCAATACTTACGAAGTCACTTAGCCACTTAACGGAAGCAGAAAGCACTGCAAGCCTCCTTTAGGCTTTTTAGTTTTCTTCGGTGAGTAAAAACCAGTTAATTAGGAGTAGATTAGTCTGTTTGTTGCCTGGCCTTTGTCTTTGCTTTACACTTTCATTCCACCTTTGGACTCTTCTTTGCTCATTAGTAACTATCACCAGAGAACAGGAAGTGGTTAAATTAAAAACATGACACTTCACAGTTCTATGTAACAAGCTCTGGCAAATTCCCCCTTGGAGGTAAGCTCTCCTGTTGGAAGATGGGCTGAAGCTCTTTTAGACACTTGTCTTACACCAGGAGTCAAAGCAAGTGATTTGATTTTTGGGCTGTGAAAGAAAACATTAAAGGGCAGAAGTTGCCAAAACACTTTTTTTAGGCTAATATGTCTCTAAAGGAGTTTATGTGAATATATGAGAAAATCCCATATGACTTTTAAAAGCTGAACTCTACTCTTGCCAGCACATGACGGTTATTTGCATTTTGAAAAGAGAGATCTTGACTGTCCTTTATCACTCTTGACAACACAGTAGTTCGTAAAACTGCACCCTGGGAAGGGCCAGTAAATAACGGGGAGGAAGGAAAAGCCAGCATCGCATTCTAGATGAAAAATTCAAATAAAGAAGCAAGTTAAGCTTTGTACATGTTAACCCTGAGTATGGAGTTGATGTACAGAGTAATGACTGTGGGTCATCAAGAAAAGATTAAAATACATTCATTAGGTTAATAAGAACAAGAAGTACATAAAAGTATGTTTTAGAAAGATTTTCATCAAAAAGTAGTTTAAAAATTTTTCATTAATTAAAGGAGTAAATCTCAATTATCTGTAAAATAAACTTCTGTGGAATATGTCTTTGTTTCTGGAAGAAAATGATAGTGCTTTACATTGAGGTTATTGCAATAAAATCTTCTAAAATTAGAAAATGCGCTCCAGTCTGTTTCTGGAATCTACAAGCTACATATCTATTCCAGGTATAGCTTTTACAATCCAGAGAACTATGGAAGAAGGGAGTAGATAATTAGATGGAAAATTAGGACATCAGATGCAACATAGAGATTAGCAAAGAAGAAAAGCCTTGCAAATAAAATGCTTATAGATAACCAGTCTCATATCTTTCCATTATTCCTATAAATGCATCTCATAGATATGTTTAGTCATAGTTATTTAATCTCTTTTGCTATCCATTGCCTCTTTCAGGACCATGGTTTGTTGGTGAAATCACTCTAGGCAAATTGGGTTGCTGCTTTTCTTTTGGGATCTTTGTTGATGGACATTTCCTACAAGGCAGCTTAACATTTATAGTTGGGATTCTCCAGGTAAGAAGTCAGAAATGCAATTTAAGAACATCTTGGCCTCGTTGGACTGATTGCATTACAGTTACGAATTAAATCCAGAATCCCAAATTAGATACCACAGATCATCTTTCCTACTTTGCAGGCAGGGCAATCTTTAATAACGGGTGTTTTGTTTGTATTTAGAGTGCTTCCTAAGTGCTTTCTTCCACCACTCTTGTAAACGTCTAAAATATGTTTTTGGAAGGCAAGATTTGTAAGAGGTGAAAGAGATTTTTATTGTTGTTATTACTTGTTTGTTTCATTGTGCTTTTTCATTGACAGAAAATGAAATAAGGGGCTTATTGTAGAATAAATGACAGAGTTCTGAGTAAACCAAAACTGATCATGATTAATGAAGAACAAAAACGTTTCAGGAGGAGGAAAGTTAAAATAGGCAAGCAAGAAGAGTGGGTCATTTATCCAGTGGAAATGGCACTGGGCAAAAACCAGACCTGGGCTTTCCAGTGATGTCTTAGCAGTACTTGCGTGGGAAACGGTGATGCATTAGGTTTACATTTGGGTTAAGAGTCCTTTAAAACAAACACACAAAGAGCCCTGACCCATAGCAAATCCCCATAAACAGATTTCAAAAGTATTTACCTAACAGTTTCTTTATTTTACTCGCCTAATGGGGCTAGACCAACAAGCTAGGCCTGGTGGTGCAGTGGTTAAAGCGCTTGACTGTTAACCAAAAGGTCGGCAGTTTGAACCTACCAGCCGCTCCATGGGAGAAAGATGTGGCAGTCTGCTTCTCTAACAGTTTACAGCCTTGGAAACCCTATAGGGCAGTTCTACTCTGTCCTGCAGGGTGCTATGAGTCAGAATTGATTCAACAGCAGTGGGTTTGGTTTTTGGTTTAATGGGGCTAAAACCAAACTCGTTGCCATCGAGTTAGTTCTAACTCGTAGCAACCCTATAGGACAGAGTAGAACTGCCCCACAGGGTTTCCAAGGAGTGGCAGGTGGATTCAAACTGCCGACCTTTTGGTTAGCAGCTGAGCTCTTAACCACTGCGCCTGGACCAAAGTCTGAGGTGGTAATCTAAAGTTTTGGAAGAGATCAAAAAAACATTGTTCAAAATGAGTTCAAAGCCTCACAGCAGGGCAGTAAAACATGATCAGCGGGACTGGAGACAGCCAAGTAGGCAAGGCCTCAGCCTAGCAAACACCAACCATAGGCTAGAACATTCCTGCATGGCAGCATTATATATGCGAAAAGGTCCTGGGTCCAGTTTAAAATTTTCCATTATGTAGTTGGAGGCTGGATCTCAGGAACATTCTTTTACCAAGTAAAATCAGAGCCTTGCCAAAAGACTTTTTTTCCTTTGGCAAATGTTTACATTCATATGTTAATAAATAGTATACTAATAATGGATTTTATGCACATACAGGCTTATGACTCCCAAATCTATATCTCTGGCTTAGACCTCTTCTCTGCGCTTCAATTGCCTACATATCCGACTGTCATTTCACGTCTTCCCTTAGATGTCTAACAGGCATCTCAGTATTATGTCTCTAACAGAACCTTTAATTTCTATCCCCAAACCTGTGCCTCCCCCAGTTCTTTCCAATTTCAATAAATAGCGCCACCACTCACCCAGTTTCTTCAGGATGTATCCTCAAGTCTTCCCCTTCCCTCATGTGCTGTATCTAGTCCATCAGCAACTTTTATCTTGTTTGGTCTACCTCCAATACATACCTTGAATCCATCCACCTCTCTCCATCTCTGCTGCCACCAACCTAGTCATAATTATGACTTGCCTGGGCTACTGTCATGACCCCTAATAGTCTTCCTATTCCTGCTCTTGCTCCCCTACTGTCAGCTCACCACAGAGCATCCAGTGTGATCTTTTTAAGATCTGAATCAGCTCAGTCACTTCTCAGATTATAATCCTTTAAGCAGAGCAGTGACATTATCTGGGTCCTACTGACTGCTCCAGTCTACACCTGGTTCGTCATGCTCCAGGCACACTGACCTTAAAGAGGCCGAGGCCTCTCCCACCTTTAGGCTTTTTATTTGTTCCTTCTGCTTGGAATGCATGTCCCTCCACTGACTCATTCCTGTCCTTAGGCTTCAGAGAGGTCATCTCCCAGTTACTCTCGTGACCCAGTTATTTCTGTCACTGAACTTACCACAATCAGTTATCTTTTTTTTTTTTTGGTCTCTCTTTTCCCTGTTAGAATGTAAGTTCTATGGTGGATCTTTTCAGACTTGCTCACCCATGTGTCCATAGCTGAGACCCTAGGACAGTGCCTTCCACATAATGGGCACCCAGTAATTACTTGTTGAATAAATGAATGAGTCATACAGCACCTAAACTTGTATTATAACTTAAAGCTTCTAATTTGTATTCCAGTATTCATCATGCCACCTCAAACAAAAATACAGAGATAAGGAAAAAAAATACTGATACCCAAGTTCCCCTCGACCAAAAAAATAAATAAATAATTGAGTATATATGTGTGTGTGTACACGTGTATATACACACACACATGCTCAGTTTCAACTTAAACACTACTGAGTACTGTTATGTGGTAGTATACTACAAGTTGGAGATTTCAGCATAAATGATACCTACCTTTAAGATGAACAAGAGGACACAGGCAAATACAAAAACTTACTATAAATCAACTGTTGTGTTATAAGCAAGCAATCAGAGGAGAGAGAAAAAGCAACATTCTTGGGAGCCACCAATAACGTATTAACAAGACCCGATCCCTCCAAGGCTTGGTAGTAAGCTAATGGTTCTGCTCCTCTTTCCAGCTGGTGTTTTTTAACGTCCCCTTGATGACTTACCTATCTTGGAGCTTGCTGCAGCGGTGCTTTGGTCACAACTTCAGGTCTCATCTCCACCAAGGAAAATACTTGAAAATTATACCTGTTCACCTACTTATGCTACTACTGTACGTTTGGCAGGTCTACTCCTGCTACTTCCTTCAGGTGACATATGGCACCCTAGCTTTTTTCTTCTCCCCTTTGCGGACCTGGTTGACACTGCTGACACCTGTTCTCATTCGTTGTGTGTGGACACTGAACCCCAGTGAGCTTGGAACCTTCACTGTGCAGTTAAAAAGCCACCTGAGCTCCTGAAGACCATGCCTCACCATGAGCAGCTGGGCCAGGTTCCTGCCTCCACATCTAGTACAGCAGGTGGAAAGGCAATGTTGGTGGGAGACCTCCATGGAGCTGCTGCTCTTTGGATGCCCGGGAGTTAAAGGGACTACCCACTACTGATTGCTGCAGAATGGACTGGAGAAAAGTCTCTAATGCTGTGATTTCTTTCTTCCCCAAGGAGGCAAAAGGTTGATTTACCTTTGTGAAGAGAAAGCCCTAATCTAGGAGATCCGCAGGGTGGATCCACAGGCTGGGTGTATGTATGGGAGCATCTGAGGCCCAGGGTGTTTAGGTTACCCCACATAAAGCACCTAGTACAGTGCCTGGCACTCAGCAGCTGCCAAGGTGCCATTTTAGGGGCAGGGAAGTTGGGACTTGGACCTGACCCTAACTGCCTTTCACATACTAGCTCCTAGCCCTATTTTCCTGCAGGGTTATGGTTGTCTGCTTCCTTAGTCGGGGGTATTTTCAATTTATCAAATAAATGAATGAATGAATGAGCAACCAATATGGCCCTTGCGTGTTGTGGCCTGGCCTTAGGCGGGGGGGGGCGGGG